CAAAAAAAAACGGGATGAACGACCACGACCCCACGTCATGGGTGAATCCGATGCTTCAATACATGGGATCATCACGGTCAGATGGGAAAATTCATTGATTGAAACAAAGATGAGACGGTGAGGTGTTGAGCTCAGGTTTGTGCCTATTTTGGGTATTGTTGGAGTATGACTCAGTATGACCCATACTGTATGAACTGATCAAAAGCCCAGTATTCATCTGGTTGGTGGTTTCAAACATTGGTGGTTTCAAACATTTTTCTATATTGAGAATAATCATCCCAAGTGACGAACTCATATTTTTCAGAGGGGTAGGTATACCACCAACCAGTCATGGGTGAAAAGATCTAAATTGTGTTGTTTCTTCCCATAGAAATTGTGTGATCACAGATGTGAATGTTGGACGATACCGGGATGACAATCCTGAGACCATACAGGGTTCGTAGTGGCTTGTCTCAATGTATCCCACTTATCCAGTTGTAAGTAATGACCAAAATGTCATGTGGTAAACCTGCCATAAACCTGCCATAAACCTACCATTCCAGGATTATACCGCCCATAAAGATGGTGATTTTGGGGATGGTTTCCCTCTGGTAAACGTTTACATAACTATGGAACATCACCATTTTTCATGGGAAAACTCACGAAATCAATGGCCATTTTCAATAGCTATTTTGACATAACCAGAGGGTTATCATTGGGTTTTCCACATGACTTACCATTTTTCAACACGTATGGTGGCCACAAAAGTTTCATGGCCTTTGGGAAAAATACGTATAGACCCTCCAAATACCCGCCAAAAAACATGGTGAAAGTAGGCACACTATTGGGGGTAGAACGTGGTAAAACATGGTAAAACATGGTAAAACATGGTAAAACCATATTGCTATGGGTACAAATAGAGGGTCTAAATATATGCAGGATCATTTTCGTCAGTTATATCATGGACTCTGTGTTTCTCAAAATGCAGCAGTCTTGGCTCTGGGCGTGGGCCCTGATGTGGCCCCCTAAAAAGGGGGACCCTGGGGGGCAACAGCAGGTGGGGATGGGATGTTTTCTGAAAGCCAAAATTGCTAGTTTGCTTTACTTGGAGCCTTTCAGCGGCCTTTTTGGTGTTTTTCTATCTTTTTCTTACGTAACTTTTGCCAAGCAAAATTTAGGAGTTGCACTCAAGTTACACTTTTGAATCAACGGAAATGGGAATAAACGAGCAGCTCATACAATGATGAACCCTGCAGGCAGACATTTTGATGATGTCACAGCTACCTATACACAAGTGAAGGATGCTGGAGAGACGTATAGGAGTCCAACAAGTCACAGGGTGTCTTTGGATGGGTCCAACTTGGGAAAGCAGGAAACTCAACAGCGTTCCGGAAAACAGTCAGCAAAACATGTAGTCTTCTAGTCTGGCGACTTGGAGAAATACCAATGTGATCTCTGTCCTTCCAAATTGCCATGTAAAAGGATCCGAATAGTACCCAGCGCGCCCGCGGAACATGCAAGTGTGGTCCCTCGTCCACGGCGCACGAAGTTTTCTCGTTCCTGCAAGTCCGTAATTTGCATGGGTTCCGCAAAAGATAACCATGGAGTTCGCGAAAGATTCGCGAAAGATTTTTTTATTCGCGAAGAATGGCCGTTCCCGGATTAAAAAATCATCAACCATCATATATGAATATATCTCTATCTAATTTTTACACTGTACAACATAAATTTGATCCCCCCGTTCCACGATCCTGTATTTTGGTAGCCACACCAGGATTTATATTCGACGCTTACAACTTATCACCTCCCACATTTTATGGGTCCTCAACGCAAGGGTCATTGGAGTTATACCAGTGGACTGTGGATGTCCCCCGCATCCGAAATTTAATATGTCTATATCCCCTACTAAACCATGGTTTATGGGGGGTGTTTATCACTAGGGGGAAGGGGTTATGGACTACTGATGATTAATGTTCTAGTGTCTATTGACTTACTATCAAACAACTTGTGAGATAGTATTGGGATGTGAAACACTGCTACGCACAATGATGTCTCCAACTTTACACACCCGTGGTTTGCCCTACATTTTTTCCGCTGCTTCACTCCTCTGCCGAATCTGATATCATTGGATACCTTGGATATCCTTGGATCATTTTCTGGAATAAGTTCGCTATCTTTACATCAAAATGAAATTTATCATTCTAGACCTTGGATCATTTTTTCTGGAATAACTTCTTTATCTTCATACATATATCAACATCAAATTCATCCCACACGCGGACCAAAATCAACACCCCGTCGTATCCTGCTACCTGAGTAGATCCACCGCAGGGAGCAAAACATGGCTCCACCGCGGGGGCGTTGGGACCGGCGCCTTTGTTGATGGTTGTATATAGGATTCATATAAGGATGAAGGATACCCGGTATCATGGGATATCCCATACCAAAATGGAAGTATCAGGTTATCAAACTGAGTAGTCTAATGTGGAGGTCATCATGATATTTTTTCCCTGCGATTTGCTGTCGTCAAACATGGCTGGAAAGGCAAATCTCCGAAATATTGGAGGTTTCCAGCTGGGATAATAATCTCTAAATTGGGGATTTCCCATGGGGTCGCATGGCCAGGTTTGATGGGAATCTGTCAGGCATTGTGTTTACCAACCACCAGAACCAGTCGATGCTTTGTGAAACCACTCGAATGATCCAATGACATAACACGGACAATGTCATGGGCGTGATGAGCCGTAGGGATGGACATCCAGAGCATCATTCCAGGAATTTTGCCACTATCCAGATTATTCAGATGATTCAAGTATGGCATGTGTCATTGTATTTTTGATGTGACTTTAATTTTGATATATCACCCGTGAGCATGTACTGCCCAGGGTGCAGCCAGGCAAGGTCGCGACGGTGATGGGGTCGTTTTCTGCCGCCATGGTAAAATTATATAAGGTGGATTGTAACCATAAAATTGGCATTTATTGGAATAGATAGGTTCTATATACGTATAATTACGTATATATAAATCATATAACCAAGTAAATCCAAAGTTGGATGGATTGTATAACCAACCAGTCCTTGGGGTGTGATCATGAATTCCTTTGATATGGAATTGTAATGAATTGTATGCCCATTATCATACCTCTCTTTGACCATGGTTTGTCCCAAAAAAAATGTTCGGCGATACAGAGATACCCAACTAAATTCAGGGACAATCGTCGTAAACTTAGTAGACGCGCGGCTGGGAAATCACGGTGATACCCAACAAAAGAACATACCATATGATTCGACTGGGTCTGACATGGTTTGACCAGGGAAGAAGAGAAGGAACCATGGGAATACAACCAACCCCCATGAACTATATAGTTATATACATATATATATATTATATTGTTTCCATAGTTGCCACAGTTATGGGATTTATATTCACCGTCACTTCGCTGTGGGCCACCACCATGGTCGCATTCATGAAACCAAGGCATTCGCTTCGGGAATTTTTGCAGGCTACTCCTGCAATACATGGAATCATGTTGGTTATTTGATGCATCATTCTGGGTACCCTCTGGTGAACTAACATAGCAATGGAAAATGGCCATTTATAGTGGATTTTCCCATTAAAAATTGTGATTTTCCATTGCTATGTTAGTTCACCAGAGGGTAAATTATAACAACCTCACTGTTCTCCTTCACTGGCATGATGGGTATTCGGGGAATCCTCCCCAAATGACCGAACCATTCAGGTTGTTTTTTTTACCCCAATCATTGGGATCATGCGAATACGCTATGAATACGGGCATGTCCGAAGGCAATGAATGGAAGTACACTTCAAAGGATCAAGATGCATGATTTCCTGTATACGATGGCTTTAATACCTTTTGTATGTATAGGAATATCTTTGATTCACAGGATCAAGTTGAATGAAACTCCCATGCAGGGGTTGTCCAGCCACAGTGCTTGTGTTAGTATCACCTAACATGTATGCATATAATATACAGTAATAAATACATACAGTATATGGCTGTTTCTCGAAATAGAGGACCCCAAACAACATATGGTTCGCGTTTGCAAAAAGAACATATCAAGTGCTTAATGACTATGCGCGTTTTTCCAGAGTGATGAGCCCCGCCTGCTTCTCCGAGCATACATACCCTTCAGATGCGCGGCTCAAGGGCCAAGACCTTGATATTTTATTAATTTGGATACAGCCAAGGTTTTAATGATCATAAACAATGTTGAATTGAGTTATTATCCCAAAATTACTGTAACCAGGATTACTTATTGTTTATTAGGTTAACCAAAGGCCAATGTTTTTCATTGGGATAGGCCCCCAATGTTTTTTCATGTTCACCTCATCCAGCACCTTATCTTATTTTTTTCGAACCTTCAGTCAACACGGGATTCGCACGTTTGCCGTGCTTGCATATCATTGAAAAAAGGTGTGTATTCTCACTTGCCCAGTAACAGATGTAACAGTATACTGTACCATTTGTTGGTTTGCCCCGAACTTGCTTCACAATTTCAAAACAGCAGGGTGGCTCAAGCTCGGACATGGCAAACAAAGGAGCAGCACTATCAGGACGTCAAAAATCGCCAAAGATCCAGCAAGAACAACGCAGCCAATGATGTCACTGGCCGTTTTTTGGCTCCGTACTCGATGCATTGTATCTCTTGAGGGTTTCCCAACCTCGGGCATCCCAGCATCCAACAGGGTGGTGCACCCAGGAAAAACACACACACAGAGTGCTCGTCTAGCTCTACACATTGACCCAACCATTGCTATACTTAGATCAGCAGATAGATCAGAAGATAGATCATCAGAGAGATCATCAGATTCCATGCCCAGCTTTGCCGATTACTCCGATTACTATCCTTACAATGTGAGGCCCCCAAGATAGCTAAGTTGGTGCCAATAAGTCCAATGCCACAATGGTTTATGGTATTTATAACGAACTAGTTACTGGCGCAAATCTAAACCAACAAACATCACTGGTGGGGTCCATGTAGCTCCTTGATCCCTTGATTTGCGAATCATCCTCTATCCCTTGTGTGATGCACCCCACCATGGCATGCTGTTGATGCCATGATGGCGTCCTTTTTGAGGGGGCCGCTGCGGCGAGCCTGTCATACTCAACGGGTCAAGGCGTCAGGGACCATGGCACCGAAGTCGGTCTCATCAAACCCATAGAGAATCCATTCAAAATGGTGATTTATAGATGATTTACCCATTAAAAATTGTGATTTATACCATTCTACATATTTTCCCAGCTATAGCCCACCTAAATTATCCAAAATTACCATGTTTGATGACTGGAGGGTAGCAAGATTGGTTTTTTTTCGTCGAATATATGCGGGTAGATTGATGACTAGGGAATGGACAAGCCATCCAAGGATCTCGACCACCACGAAGCCCAAAAAGATGTAGGAACACTGTCTTTACTGGACGCTGTTGCGGCGAAGTGCTTGCCACAGTCTTCATATTCGTTCCGGAAAAGGTTATGTGTGTTTGTGCAAACATGTCTATGCTCTCAGACTCAGACCCACAGTTATATATATGGTTTTCCAAGCTATGATTCCGGCTGGTTCGATCCCGCCAACAAGGCCATGCAGCATGGTCAGATCTGGGCTTGAGTCTTGAGGTAAGCATACCATGGACCATGGCACCAGAAGAAGTCCCATTATACAACCCCACTACAAACTAGTTTATCCGCAATTGTTGGCAAAACCACCATTTTTGCCACTACAACCATCATTCTTAGCTGCTAAAATTACCACCCTTCCTGGGATTTCCTAAGTTTTCGTTGTGTTTTTTCATGCTTTTCTTGTTTTTCTTATTGTTTTTTGCATGTTTTCCTAGGTATTTCCAGCGTTTTCTGCTAGGATTCCCACCTTCTCCATTGGTGAAGGCTTCCTGCCCTTCCGCGCCGGTGCCATCACGGCGGCGCCTCAGCGATGTGGCGGTGCAGGATGCAGTGACGACAGGTGTGGCCAAGACAAGTTCTTGGAGGATGGAGTTTGGAACATGGAATTTTATGGTTAATCTATGGTTAATCTATGGTTAATCTATGGTTAATCTATGGTTAATCTATGGTTAATCTATGGTTAATCTATGGTTAATTTATGGTTAATCTATGGTTAATCTATAGTTAATCTATGGTTAATCTATGGTTAATCTATGGTTAAACTATGGTTAATTTATGGTTAATCTATGGTTAATCTATGGTTAATCTATAGTTAATCTATGGTTAATCTATGGTTAATAAATGGTTAGTCTATGGTTAATAATTGGAATAACATACTAATCTGGTTGGTGGTTTGGGACATTTTTTTTCCCCCGTATATTGGGAATAATCATCCCAACTGACTAATATTTTTCAGAGGGGTTGAAACCACCAACTAGTATTACCCTTTGGTAAACTAAATCACAAAATCATGTGGTAGAATGTGGTGTTTACCAATTCTACCTTCAACATCCTGAAAAACCTCATTCTTCAAAAATGGAGGTTTCCATAGTCATGTTGGTATCCCAATAGCTGGATTGTCTTTTCATGGAAAATCCTACTAAAATGGATGATAAACAGGGGTACCCCCATTTTAGGAAACTTTCACATAGCTATGGAAAATCACCATTTAGAATAGGTATATAAATTAACTACAAATGATCATGTTCAATATCGGGAATTACACAAGAATTAGAAGGAATCCCGTTCATGATGGGATGACCATACCCATCAGTTCAGCAGTGTTCAAAACCCCATTGGTTGATATTAGTGTGGTGTTTACTGCGCTGGAGGGACGGCAAAGAACGGATGCAGAAAGAAACCTTCGTTGCTTCGTTGGTTCAGCAGGGTTCGTTGTTCTCAGGGATGTCTTGTTAAAATCTAGAGACCCTCACATGGCAGGTGGGGAAATACCGATATTTGTTCACATCAACATAGCTGTTGCTCATGGATGTTCATCTCCCCCAAATATCGTGCCCCCTTAGCTAGTCTTAAGTTGGTTTATATCCCATCTATAAACTATAGCCTATAGCTATAATACCCAATAGATTGAAATAGTTTATTTTCTGACTATAACCTATTTCACAAGAAGTAGTCTATTTAGATAGAATTGGTAGATTTGGGGTGGTTGAAAAATAGATAGATTTTTGAAAAACACATTTAACTAATAGTTAGATTTTTTGGAGCCTATTTCCTAGGAAATAGTCTATTTCCTAGGAAATAGATAATTTCTATTTGGGGCCAAACTCCGACCAAAGTCTGACCAAAGTACGACGCCAATGCGTGGAAATGCTGGAGGGGTTGCAAAAATCAATCTTCAAACCTTCACCAAACTCCGACCCACGCCTGCAAACAAGGGGCGAAAGTCCGACCGACTTTCTACCAAACTACGACCCCCCTGTCCCGGGAAAAATCTGCCGATTTTGTAAAAATAGACCGATTTCTCAATCATAGATTTAACTAAATAGTTATTTTTTTGGTAGACTATTTTCTGTATATAGCCTATTTTGTGAAAACAAGGAGAATAGTTAGAAAATAAGGGTAGCTCATCTATTGGGTATTGTATTCACCACACACCGTAGTGACATGTTACTTATAAAGCAACTTCGCTAACAAGGGGGCCTCCCCTGGTATTAAGGTCTTAAAATTGGCACAACAAACAAACACTTATTACATATATATATATATATACATATGATTATCACAAATAGTCATTGTTAACCCATTCTCACCCATATGAACCTGTTATACTAACCGTTGTTTCCACCCCCAACCGCCCCACTGGCCCCAGGGGAAGACCTTGAACCTCCCTGGCTGGCCCTACGGGTCGAAGCACCGAGTGTCGCAGCCACAAAGGCCATGGAACGTGTCAAGGCCCGAGGGTCCCAGTTCAAGGTGCCTCGGAACGGAAGGTTTCCCTATCCCATATGCTCCATGGTGCTGGAATATTGACCTGCATAACTGGGCCATATATATGGGGGGATATGTACGTAAATATTCCAGCACCATGGAGCATCTGGTTTCCCGGGTTTCGCTATGAAAGTTGGAACCTTTGACCTGGATTTCAGAACCTAGATGAACTTATAGTCCCTATTCGTTGAATACGTGACATCTAGGTTTTGTTTTAAGGTATGAAACTTCACTTGTATAAATGGTCGTTCTTTTTTTTAGTACTCAGTTATTCATGGGAACTATATAGGTTTATGAAATTATGAAATTAATGATAATATCGTTCCGGAACACAAGTTGGTAATGGAATATGGTACTTGATGGTTTTATATCATCAGCTATGCGGAACATGCTGTGCTATGAATGAATGTGGTGATAATGGATGATTTTGGATCATCATGAATATTCATGGTTAACTATGATAGTCATATGTTAACAGTAGTCATATATGCATAGTTGACTATGACAAGTATAGGAACACAAGAACTTTTGACCAGTATTTCATTACTTTGATACCAAGTTCTAACCTTTATTCATTAAACATGGAATTGGAACCTCTACTACTTCTTCTAGCTACATATACCTATGGCACCCTTAACCCACTTTTTTTGGGTTGAAATCGAAAAACCTGTTGTTTCAAGATTTTGAGAAAAAAACTAGTATTTTCAATAGAAAAACCTGGTCTTCCAATTTTCTATGCGTAATTTGCCCGTAATTTACCCATGATTTCCCGTAATTTACCGGTATTTTCCCGTAACCACATGCCTTGCTGAAAAAACACGGGTTATTTTGAAAGAAACGTCTTTTTTTCTAGCAAATCCTGCGCCTTCCCGGTTTGTATACTTCACCGCCAAAAACTTGCGCTCCCAGAGCTTGGTTTGAACAAGGCAGAAGGTCGATCCAAACGGCCTTGCGACGCCATTTCAACGAGGCAGCCGGCTCAGTCAACATGCTGTGCAGGCAGAAATTATCTGACCGAGCAACTGAGCTGACCCCTCTCCGACTCAGGTCGTGTGGGCCATCGTCCATGAAAGGCTCGGGCGCAATATTACGTTTCACTTTCAACCCAGTGGGGTACCCAAGTTTCTTGCACGCCATCTCCACTGACGGCGAAAAAAGAAATCGAGCGGATGCACGCTTCGGGAAGAACCGCGTTGTTTCGCCAAAGCTCAAGCATGTGCACATGTCGAGACCCCATGGTTTAATGCACCTTTGCAGGTTTTCTTGCATGTAAACATCACAATGGCAACTCCGCCCGGGTCAATCGAAGTCATCACGCCGTAATCTCTTCCCCCTAATACTACCCCCCCCAAATAATAAACACTTCAAGTAGTTTTTAGATGTTTTTAGTCTTAGGGTCGTATTTATTATTAGGAACCCTATTAATAAAATTCCACCCTTAATAATAAAAACTGTTTTTCCGATCTCAAAATCAATGAAATTTCCTTAAATAACGCGATTAAAATATTACCAGAAATTGGATTTCTAAGCGGACCCTATTAATAAAATTAAAAACGAAAAAAATCGTACGGACCCTAATAATAAACACCCCGGGGCTAACTAGTTTTCATTATTAGGGGGCAAAACCTACAAATGGTAGCTTTATTTTTAAATTGTTTTCTAAAGGGATCAATTAAAAGTCAAAGTGGCCAATCTGATTTTTCCCGAAATTGGGGATGGACTCTAGTTTTTAGTATTTGTGGGACGTTTAGTAATAGGGGGAAGGGATCGAAGTCATCACGCAGTACTTTGCTTCAGTGCCTCTTCTGGTGGACTTAGCGTGCCAATATCATGCAGTTGTTGGAGCCTCATCGAATTGAACCCATGCGTGACAACTACAAAACGAAGACCAAAAACACAAAATTAACTTTCTGCCAGCTTGCGTCGGCTGAACGTCTGATTCCTCAGCAACATGGTAGTAGGCAGTCATCATCAGCCAGCTGCATCGTCGTCATCGTTTAAATCTGAGAGTTTATTGTCCATTGCATTCATGCTCCTTCTCTGATGCGCGCGTTTCATCCCGGCACACGTTTCGCAAGGTTGGAAGTCAAAGTCTGGCTGCTTTGCATCCTGTGGAAGGTCTGTTGTATGTACGAAACCCAGCGACGCCGGCCGTCAACAGTCAGTCGTAAGTAATTATATATATGTCGGTTGTGCTCGCAGGCGCCGTCAAAAAAGGCACATTTGGGCCACCAACGGCGTCAACGGCAACACGGTCAAAGTAATCAAAGGCGGCGGCCTCAACAAGACCGTCCTAGCGACGGCGCCCAAGCATGAAATATATAGCCGTTCTATTTTCAGACCCTTTCGGAATCAGGGCACTTCTCAATCGAAATGGCAATCTGTCACCATTTTCATGAAAAAGCTGGAAGCTCAATGCATAGCGGGCTGATAAAATGCCTGCATAGCATCAAAGTTCGGTTATCTTTACTGAGGCCGGAACCTTGGTGATAGACTAATGTGGTAGGGGCGGCACGTGGTGTTTCACTGGGCACCCCACGGGGCACCCTTACGACCGCAGTATTTTGTCAGATAAAAAATTGCGGTGTCGGACGTGCCGCAAATCCGGGGGCCGAATCTCTCAATCAACAACACTGCGTACACAGTTCAATCGGAATTTTCGTCATCCGAAATTGTATCAATAGATCTTCGCGCTTCCTGTCTGGATGTCTTAGATCAAGTGTCCTTGCATTGAGGTGCATTTCTGCTCGCCGAGTAAAGACGGCAACGGACAGAGATATGTATATATATATATATAGATATACATATGTATATATATATATATATTTCTAATTGTATACTATTAACTGTATTTTCCTAAATATATTATATTATTCTATATTTATATACGCACCTCTATATATATATATATATGCGTATTATAATAGCTTGTTTTGCTATGTCAGTTGCTAATGGAAAACCAAGGACATCAAGCCAAGAGCAGACGAACAATTTCTGTTGTTGGCTTCGCCTTGCGTATATAGACAATCTAGACCGGATGCTTGTCCAACGTCGAATCTTGCCATGGGCAGTGTGCCCCACATCTCAATGCATAGCAAAGCCATTGGCATACAGACATCTTCCTCCGTTCTCATTCGGCTCGCAGCCATACTTTCACCAAACAACGCAGAGGCGAATCACTTATATCCAAAAAACCAGGCAAGCATAGGATGAGCCAATGCCAACAATCAGCAAAACATATGCACATGTAGCCAAGGCAACCAAGGCAACTCAGATATATGATATAAGCTTTCCAACCTTCCGCCACGCATTCTGATGTCGGCGCAGCCGTGGAAAGATCCTGACGGTGAAGCCCGAATGGCTCTGTGACATTCTTGCTGGCACAAAACATTGGGAAATCCGCAAGACAAATGCACTTCACAGAGGCATGGTGGCATTCGCCGCAAGCGGCACCTTCAAGCTCTGGGGCACGGCTCAGCTGGTTGACGCCACCTGGATGACGCGTCAAGAGCTCAGAATGCAAGAGGCGCTACAAGCCCACCGCCTCACATCAGAGCAATTGCATGCATATGGGACGAATGGCGGCGCATGGGTTTGGAAATTTCAAGGCGCACAGGCACCGCAAAACCCACAGTGTCATGGAGACCCAGACGTGGATCGATCATTTGGCACAAAATCAGTGAAGGCATTATAAATGCACTTAAGGCAAGGGACCGGCATCCAAAAAAGAAGTGGGTCCTGGAGGCTGTAGGTATGTGTATGTATATATATATATATATATAGATATAGATACACAAATTTGTAAGTGAAGACACATGTGCAAAGTCTTTTAGATAATAAAAAGAATTTAATATCACATTATCACATCGTGATACATAGGTATTTGACATAGCTTATCGATTAAATTACAATAATTCCATGTAAGCACAGATTTATCGGCAAATTCACAGAGTACCCGGACATGGATCCCAGGCAGGCGAAACCCTTGAGAAACCGCAGAAACTGCTGGTTGCATCCGTGGAGGAAGTACTGAGTCAGGCCGGGGATGGGGTAACCTGGGAACAAAAACAGGCGATTTGTTGCTTCCACACTTGGAGCAAGAACATGCCACAGGGAAAACCGCGGGACCGCATTTTGTAGGTTTCCTCTATAGATACGAAGATTTTGCTTACATTATACACAAGGTGTATATGTTATATATTCAGACAAGGGAGTAGGTCGGGGCAAGACCGTTCATGTTGACATGCACATGCTGTGTTGCTATGTTATCGATCTGCCACGGTATGACCCTGATGGAGGGGATTCTGAACCGTAAACCATTCAGTAAGTCAGGCGAACGGTGCGATCGAAGGCATCACCACAAGAAGAAGAAGGAGAAGAAGAAGATACATAAGAAGAACTACTGATGAGATGATTTTGCCACGATATTCTACACTCCGTAGCCAAAATCCACAGGGGTGTTTACAGCAAGTGGTTCAGCTGAAGATTGGGAACTTGGCTCGCTGGATCAAGCAGCAGAAACGAGAGATATGGTAGTCCAGGCCCCTACTACCAACGGAAGTGGAAAACCCATGTGGAAGTGGTCGTTTTAGCCATGATTCAACTATCAAAAGCATTCGATATTAAAACATTATATTAATATACCATTCATCGCCATGAATGTCAAAAACACATGGCATCATAAGCTTACACATGTAATGTTTATTGTTTTTACAGTAACCACGGTAAAGACTAGTATTGATACAAATGTTTTTTTGTTCTCATGTAAATACTAGTAAACCATTATAAACCATAGTAAAACCATAATTCACTGTTCGCAATTTGGGGTGTAGATCCGTTAGGTTTAGACCCGCTACCTTTCAAATCTCCAAAAAACACCAAAAATCCTAGAAGTTCATGTCTCACTGTGGTATCACCAAGAGGCAGTCATGAAGCAAAAGAAACTGCGGGCATGAACGGTTTTTTCCTGTCAAAGCAATGCGATTTTTTCGGGAGAAGCCGTTGATTTGAACAATGGCAACCAATCTAATGATAAGTGATTTTTGTCAGTTGAAACTGACAATTGAGGATTCTGAATGCAGCAGCAGGCATGACCTCGGCTCAATTGACACTGACCTTAAGCTCATGCAACAATAGACACCGGCAACGGCAATGCCAAGTAATGACAACTTTCGCACCTGTATATGCAAGAACATCACCCCTTTAGACACTTGGTGGCCCATTGTGAGAAATTTTGAAACATTTTGAGACATTTCGAGCATATTTGAGCAGTTTTGTGCAAATTTGAGCAATTTTGAGCAAATTTGAACCATTTTGAACAATTTTGAGCAAATTTGAGCATCTTTGTCGGGCAAGTTTGGGTCATGTCAATGTCAACAATTTTTGGAAGCACGATATGGCATTGTTGACCTTGGACAGTGTTCAAAATGTCTCAATTGAGGCTGCTTTGAGACATCTTACTTTGGCTGAAAAAGGTAGCTGATGTAAACCCCACGGATCTAGACCCTAAAACGAGATCAGTGGATAATTAATTAAATGGTATCATGATTTAAAACCATCTTGAAATCATCGTAAAACTAGTAAACCCATAGAAAACCATAGAGTTTATATTATGTTTTACCATGGCATCCATGGGCGCCCCAGCGGAGGCACTCGCCTTGGCCTACGCCGGACGCGCTTCGTCGAAGTGGCCGGTCGTGGCGGAGCATTTGCTGTCGCTGGAACTTACAGCGGAGCAGGTGGTCAACCGTGGATGGATAGAAGATGGGTGGGATATAGTTTAGTATGGCTTAATATGGAGTTAATATGGGTTAGCATATGTTAATAGATTAGTAATATTTAATATTATAAACAAGTTTATATTAACCATTGTTAACCCATATCAATGGTTGATTAATCGAAGGAAGTTTAGAAAAGTCAAGCTTCCGGCAATATGGACACATTGAAAAGCAGAGGTGGGAAGAGTCAGAAAAGAGAAAGACTCGCGAAAAGGTAGAAAAGTCGCGATTCACTGTGTTGTTCCAATGATTTGTGGCTCCGGAGGGTCGAAACGCTAAAGCGGCGGGACGGTGTTGTGGTGCGAAGCACATTTCGAAGTCAAAATGTGCAAAACACCTCATGTTCGGACCACTTTTGGAAGTTGAGATGTCGAGGCGTTGTGGCGCGAAGCACATTTCGAAGTCAAAATTTGCAAAGCACACCATTCTCGGAGCATTTTTGGAAGTTGAGATGTTCAAAAAGTGCACGCTGTTGCTGGCGCGCAGCACATTTGGAAGTCAAAAACTACAAAGCACACCTCAGGTTCGGAACACTTTTGGAAATTGAGATGTTCAAAAAGTGCACGCCGCTGTGGCGCGAAGCACATGTCGAAGTCAACATGTACAAAACACACAATGTGAGGCCCCCAAGATAGCTAATTAAGTTGGTTTATAACTCCAATGAGTATGGTTTATGGTACTTATAACTATAGTTACCGGGGCTTATAAACCAATTTATAACTATAGGAAGCCTCACATTGCACCATTCTCGTAGCAGTTTTGAAAGTTGAGATGTTCAAAAAGTGCACGCTGTTGTGGCGCGAAGCACATTTCCAAGTCGAAATGTTAAAAGCTCACATGCTCGGACCACTTTTGAAGGATGTGGTTTTGCGTGGCAGGCGCCAAGGAAGCCTCACCTTGCCAGAAGTGAGCAAAAAAGTGAAGGTTTTGTAGAATTTCCAAAAACGATGGTAGGCGTGGGACATTTCAAGAGGATCTGCAAAGATGCATTTGGCGTGGATTCGCAGTACAAGAGACATGTTCATCAGAGATGTTAGGAGGTCAGGGCGCTGATGTCCTGAGAGGGGTTGCATGGTGGAGCATCAGATCTTCAGGTTTCCTAAGAAGATTTTGCGCGACAGGTGCAGCACCTGGTATGACCTGGCATCACTTGCAGCACTTCACACAGATCAAATGGAAAAATCGCAAAACGAATTGGTACAAGGCCTGCACTCAACTTTCCATGTTTGAAGGAAGTCTCGCAGAATTGCTTTGTTTTTGATGTTGTCAGCTTCGAAAATTGAGGACGTCTCGCAAAACTGATTCGTTTTTTGGACTTGGTCAAATTCAAAAAATTGAGGAAGTCTCGTAGAATTGCTGCGCTACTGATGTTGTCAAGTTCAAAAATTGAGGAAGTCTAGCGCAGAACTACAACTACAACTACAACTACAACTACATTACACTACACTGCACTAATTGCACTACACTGCACTAATTGCACTACACTACACTACACTACACTACACTACATTAGACTAGACTACACGACACTACGCTACAATAACTACAACTACAAACTACACTAACTACAACTACAAACTACACTAACTACAACTACAGCTACAACTACACTACTTTACGCTACGCTACGCTGGACTACACTACACTAGACAACACTGCAGCACACAACACTACGGCACACTACACTACACTCATTGCACCACACCACAACTACAACTGCAACTGCGCCACACTAATTACACATACACTACAACTACAGCTCCACTACGCTACATCTACAACTACAGCTGCACTACACCACACTACATCCAGCAGTTGTGGGTGAGCTGACCACTGCAACCATTGCAACCACTCAAGAAAAAACAACTCCAACCACCTTTCGGTCCATCAGTGGATTCGCTCTGACACCCATGCATCACAACAACTCAACTCTCCTATAGTGACTATTGGTATGGCTTAATAATGGAGTATATAATGATGATCCCACAATCCACTATTATTGTTAATAAATTATCAACTCCATATGGTGAAATCTGGAGTTAATACGGGGTTAATAATGGAGGGCATGTTATATGGTTAGTATTAATGTTTTAGTAAAAAAGAATTACGTTGGGTCTGGAAATGGGGGATTTACAAATGATTATTAAACATGGGATCGAATAGGAAACATCAACATTTTCAGACAAAACCATATTGTGGATATATGGGTTAGTATGGAGTTTTTTGAATTGTTTTGAATTGTTTTTGATGGTTATTTATGGTGGTGATTTGTTTTGTTTATCAATGGTATTTGAATCGCCGAATTGTTCTCAATGTTTTTCATGTTTACGAATCAATCGGAAGAGAATCATGCTCGATAGTGTTTAACTGTTATTAATTTTTGTTTTGTTTAAAGTGAGTTGCTATTGATGACTAATATGGGGTTAATAGTGGTTGTATACTATATTGTTAGTACATGGTTGATAGAGAGAATTCATTTCATGTGCATTAGCAGTTCTGAGTGGCTAATGTGGAGTTCAAAATGGTTAAGAAAAGGGAAATAAGTTGATATATGGTTAGCATAAGGGTTAGCAAAAATATGGACTTATAGTGGCGAATGAAATGACAACTAATAGGCACAACCATGGGATTTTAAGCCCCAACAGTCGGGATATGGGGCCCCACTATACCGACTATACCTATACCCATGTCACCCCAACAGCACCCCGCAAGCAAGGGCTTGGGCACAGCTGATGGCTAAAGGATATTTGAACAAGGGCTGGAGTTTTTTGAACATGAATTGCTCGTAAAATCTATGGAACATCCCCATGTGCAATATGGATTAACAATGGTGATTGGGATATTATGAAGTGTAAGGGGAAATCATGTGGATTTTTATTGAGTGAAATGGGAAAACATATGAATCAATTTGGGGCAAAAGGGCTGGACGCATTTTAGTTACCATGCAATAATGAGGGATTCAACACAGAAATGAGGAGGGGCTAGCTAAAATTGAATATTTACATCCCAACCACGGGGTTGGACATGCAGGAGAAATAAACATGCAAAAATGTCTCAACATGACATCAGAAAGGGTACGCTCAAGAAAAACAATTTGAGACAAACCATGACTACTCCAACGATTCTGATGTCAAACATGTAGCTCTACCGCCACATCTCTATGCTGTTCAGAAATTGCAGCATGTTCAATAACCATTCTAATGTTTTTTTTCATCCATGATTTTTGTTCAGGTGTCATTGAAAAAAAGGTTGAACGGACATTTTTTCCCAATGAAATTCCCATGGACTTTTCATCCAAATCTTCAAGTCCCAGCCACCTGTCCAGGCCTTCTTGGTGTTTCACTGTTTGGTTCAGATGGGCGACTTCGAGCCAAAGGTGCTTCGGAAGTTGCTGGAGAAGCTGCTGGGACCGATCCAGTGGTTTTCACGGTTTGGAATGGGGAAAACATTTAAGGAGTTGATCACCCCAATCTGAGACACATGTTTTTGTTTGTTGATGTTTGTCCGAAATTCCCATGAATTGCCAGTCAGATGCCATTAACTCTCCATTCGTTTGAATGTTCCAATACTGGTTGGTGGTTTGGAACATGATTTTTATGATTTTCCATAATATATGGGATGTCATCCTTCCCATTGACGAAGTCATATTTTCTTAGGTAGTTATTGCACCACCAACCAGATATGGTTTCTGAAACTCACGGGATCCCATTCCATCCGCATTCCATCGGTGAATTTTGTCATTTTCTCCATGAGCATGAGGTGAATTTGGGATACACCATGCCATCTTCAGACAAAACCACCCGGAATATTTGAGAGTGAACAGGAAGGAACATCATTTGGTGGTTTCCTAAAATGGTGGTACCCTAAACCATCCATTTAGTGGCATGCTCCATTGTAAACCATCCATTTTGGGGTGCCTCCATTTATGGAAACGGTGGTACCCTCTTATTGGACAAACCGAAACTGTTTAGGGTTAGACTTCAATGATTGTGGTCATCGTTTGATGACATACACTATTGTCATTGTGGTAAACCCATTAAAGTTAAACACAATCCAATTGAAAGCAGAAATGGGTTATAACCATCCTGACTTTCAGGATTGTGGCCTCTCAACCTCACATTTCGGTTTTTTCGGCTTTCCCCATTGGATGTTCCATGGCGTGAAAATAGTGGGAGATCATTGATACCGTTGATACCGATTAATTAGTACTGGTAGGTCAATAATTGATCATTGAAGTCATTTAGTGATGAATGTTTGTTCCAATACATGGCAACATAATCACCGCAATGCCAAGTTGTGACATCATTGCCTTACCTAGTGTATGCTACTACAGTAAGCCGAGGCTTCCGACAGTAGGGCTGGGACTTATTTACAAGCAAATGAAATTATGCATGGATTGTTCTCGTGAGGTACCATCTAGAACAAACAGTTGTGGAATGTTGTGGAGGGATTCCAACATAGAGTTCATCCTTGCCGACTTTGGATGATTACGTTATGCAAGCTTTGAAACCAGAATACAGAAAGTGATGAACAGTTGGTTCTTATCAGAGACGGGTTGGCACTGTGTCAGCATCAATGGGGATAATGTCGTCAAACAATACCCAGGAATCAAAGTGGTTTCATGTCTTGGTTGTTTCGGAATATTGGTTCATCAGGGGGTCAAAAGTAGCACCCAAATGCAGCGTGTCTCAGCCAGCATTTATGTCTTTGTTCTTTCATCAGTTACCCTCTGGTAAATTAACATAGACCCTGAAAATAGCCAATTTTGAATGGAAACATTCATCTTCCAACCCCGTTTTCTGCCAGGGTCCAACTGTTAATTTACTGGAAGGTACTCTATCTTCCTGTAGAATACCCTCCGATCATCAAACGTGGCAATGGAAAATTGCGCATTTATAGATCAGCCAGCGAGGGGATCTCCTAGCCAGCTACGTTTGATTCGCGGCGGGTTTTTTTTCTGTAGCAATGTACCAATAGTTGGATGTAGGTCAAAATGGAAGACCTAGGGGACCACAGATGTTAGTCTAGTTTAGTATTAACCATCCAATTATTGGGGTACCTAATTTTGACCCATACCCAGTTGTTTTTTTTCGACTTTCTCCGTAACATATCATACAATTCATTATAATTCTCATTCACAGTCACAATAATTCAATAGCAATAATAACAGCTCGATAGTAATTATAAAGTTGTAATAGTAATTACTAGGAATTAATTACAATTTAATAGGTCATCATCATATATACTTATATATTTTTTTACGATTGTTTAATAGTCATAACCCATATGCTCCATGGTGCTGGTATATTTACCTACATAACTGGGTGATATTTAGGGGCGGGTAAATGTTGGTAAATATTCCAGCACCATGGAGCATCTACGCCAGGAAGTGAGACGAAGCAGTGTGATCCAGCGAGATGAGAGCATCGTAGCGTGGTTCAATGGGAGATCTCCAGGATCCAATACATGGAGGTACGGTCAGTACCATATGTTTGGCCATATTTTGTTGGGATATTCCCTTAGGCCAAAAAAATAGACTTTACATATGGTAGGTATCTCCAATCAATCGGATCCTGAAATTCTCATGGATTTTTTGAAGGAATATAGCTGGGAACCCACCAGATGATGTGTCTCGATGATTGTCTATCTATGTTTTCTGTTTCGCTCATTTTTCTGTTTTAAGCGATCAATCAATGTTTTGTGATGTTGGACCACAAGAGTTTAGTACGATGTGGAGAACTGTTGACATTGCTAACAATTGATTCTTGCAATGTGCAGAAACCAGCATGGCTTCCCATATCCAGAAGCAGGAGCAAATCGAAAGCCTCACAGTTGAATTTCGATTCACAAACTATGCTAGTTTATTCATTCTGAAGAATGTTGTGTTTTCCAAAGCCCCTGTTTGGGCCCTATGTTTGGGTCTGGTTGGAAGCAGCAACCAGATCCTTTCAACGTCTATTCCTTTCAACGCCGCGCAACAATTCAATGTGACATTTAGAGGGGGGTTAGTTGAGTATACAATGTTTGCTTACATTCTACAATTCATTAGGATATTTGCTGTGTAGAATAATCGTCACAGATTCATTTTAACCAGAAGGTCCCCGGCTTTGTGCTGTGTTTTCAGAGCAAAACTGACAAAGCTGATTTGAAGCCCAACACTACATTCCCTGTACTGGAAAACGGAATCATCATCCTGCTATATTTCACAGCAACATGCCTGAAAACTCTGAATATAGTTGCTTGAACTAAACATGTGGCTGTTTATGTTTTGTACATTGTAACACGATGAACACTACATGTATAATATATATATATATGTATAATACATATGTATTATATATATATATATATATATTATATTTGTATAATACATACATATATATATATGTATAATACATATATATATATATATTATATTTGTATAATACATATATATATATATATGTATAATACATATATATATATGTATAATATATATTTTATATGTATAAAATATATTATATATGTATCATATATATATTTTTTTGATGTAATATATTGTTTTTTTCCTTTAGGCATCCAGTTGCTGTCGCAGCGGCCTCGTGCAAGGTTCATAGCCATATGCTCACCGCTTAGCCACAAATTCAGTCCCGATATGGCGTCCATACTGTGTCGCACAAAGTTGTGCCCACAGTGCCAGGTCTGACGGCTGCGGTTCCTGTGCTGAGCATAAATGGAATGAACTAATTACATGGGTCAGTACTTCCGCCATCGCTGCACACATGGCAGGTGGGTACTCTTTGAGAGGCGATGTACGCCAAGACCCGGATTCGTCTACACCTATGGCTGAACTCCTAGGAAGTTCGCTGCACACTCGCCATTGGTGCAGAGCCATGATCATGTTCGGGAGGTTCAGCAGCAATAGCTGTGTTGGTTTTGGGGTTGGTGCCCCCAAAAGGCCTTGCGCAAACCTGCACACCTCGACATCCGGATGTTGCAGCAGTGCTTCCATGATCGGGAGCTTCCAGATACTTGGAGATGTAGGTTTTGGTGGCGGTGCTGGATGTTCAAGCAATCCGCACCCCCCCGTCACCATGAGCTCCATGAAGGCTTGCATCGCGAAGATCAAGAGTTCGTTGCCGATGCACACTTGGCAAAGCTCCCGAATTCGCAGGCTGTAAAGGCCCCATAATTCTTCAGCGCTCCTCACCGGTCTCGGTCCTCGGCCTTCCTCGAGCTGATGTTCCCTGGCTGCAGTCCAGGTTTCGCAGGGCGGGCCTGCGACAAAGGCAACAACTTTTCGGTCACGAATGGCTCCAAGCCAATACTGACGCGTTTTGTTGTTGCGTGCGTCGCCGTACTGACTGTCGATGACGATGTCCATGGACACTATGTGAAGGACATAGCCTGCAGCATCTTTCTCCCGATGGAAGTGCTCCAAGAAGAACTGTAGGTCCCCTGGTCTGCGACGGCCGGAGTTATACGCGTGTAGCAACACGCGATGTCTGCCGAAGCTTCTCGGACTGGTACTGGCCGGTACGAAGACTGTACGCTTAAAGTTATAAGACTTTACAGACTTAGCCTAGATATACAGAAGTTAAAGGATTTATGTTGGAAGTTAGCATGACTTATCAAAAAGATAAAAGGAAGTTATGTTAACTTTAATAACTTATTTGTAAGTTTTGTCTTAACTTTTCGTAACTTCTGCTAACTTTTTATAACTTCTGCTAACTTTTTATAACTTTTCATAACTTTTTGTAACTTTTTGTATATTTTTATACTTTTGAAAGTCTTTGCCTTGGTTTCCGACCACGTGGATTTTATAACTGTCTTGTTTCTGAAAGAACTTTCAGATATGATATCCTTTTTTTGAATCGACGAAGTGATGTGAAAGCGTTTCAGTTATGTATGTTTCAGGAATCATGACACCTGAGGCGATATGTTTGTTTTTTGTGATATCTCTGTCTGTATTTTTGGATCTGGAAACAAGTTTAGTTGCAACTGTTCCCGTTCGGGATCCGTCATTTTGTTAAAACGATCCCGTTCGGGACTTGGTTGTTTCAACCTCTCCCTTTCGGGATCTAGTCCGTTCCAACGTTCCCTTTCGGGATTTAGTTTCTTCAACCCATCCCTTTCGGGATCTGTTTTTTTCAAACTGTCCCTTTCGGGATTTGGTTGCTTCAACCCATCCCTTTCGGGATCTGTTTTTGTCAAACTTTCCGTTTCGGGATTTGGTTTCTTCAACTCATCCCTTTCGGGATCTGTGTGTTTCAAACTGTCTCTTTCGGGATCTGGCTGTTTTCAACTCATCCCTTTCGGGATCATTTATATTCAAACCATGCCAGCGACGCAAAAACTTTTTTTTCTAGCCGGGGCATGAAACGCAGCTTCAATTTGGATCATTTCCTCTTCTTCAAAACCGAATGTGAAGCAACATGTGCGTTTTTACCATAGGGTGAGTAAACTGTTACCTGATAGTATCCAATGGGCGGGTCGATATACTTGCATCTCATTCCACATCATCCGAAGCAATTCAGTGTCTGCTCTGCACCATTCGAAAAGGCCAAATCCAATGACCCGAGTGGATTCAAATTTTTCCAGGACGACTGTGATGGTATCACCATGTTGTTCAAAGCATTTGATTCTTCCAGCCCAAAGCAAATCATGCTGGATCACAACATTGTCCACCTTCCACGTGACAAGGTTTTGTTTCAAAGTGTAACTTTGCCAGTGATTGGGTTTCACGAAGGTGCTTTCGCACAAGAAGGCCTTGCCAATGCTTTCGCTTGCCTTGTTCAATTCATTCACCTGTGTTAACAAGATGAGTCGAAGCATGCGTTCTTCGAAGCCTGCCAGATTCTGTCCGGAAGATTCGATCTCTCGTTTCAACATTTGATGCTTGCGTTCTTGCGTTTTTGTGTCCAAGCAGCAACCGAACTCAGTCCACGCGTCAGCTGCATGCAAAGAATAATGATGCTTCGGTCTAGCATGCTCACGCCCATAGGCTCGCAAAAACTGAGCATAATGGGCTTGCTGTTTGGATCGCAGGAGATCTCGGAAAGTGCTTCTTTGGCTCCAAGCTAAGACACATAGGGTATACAACCGTTCACAGAGAAGTTGGAAGGAATAGCATTTGTCCTGCAAGCGCTCCCAACGCTGTGTACCATGAATGTGTAGCATCAGCCACAAGTGAAGTAGCGGCATCATCATCATGTGCTCCGATCCAGACGCTTTCCATCCAACATTGGAACCAAAATAAGGATCCGACAGCAAGCGTTTCCGGGATTGCAGACTGACCGGATGGGTGGAGGAAATGTCCACTGCCGCACAATCTTGGATCTGGTTCCAATTCCAGCTCATCCCATCTGACAATAATGCCTGGACAAACAGCCCAACCTCCACAGGCGCGATGCCACCTGAATTCCAAAAACAATGCAATAAATCAAACGTCGCAGTGGATGGACGTACAAAATTTCTCAAGTCATGTTGGGCCAAGAGTCCGTCTGGAGAATGAGTGAAGCCGATGTTTCTTTCTAATTCTGCGAACTGTTTTTTCGATATAGTTCGCTGCTGTTCTTCCAAATGGTCCATCGATTGCCACACATCTTCATCGGTCATCCGATGAAATTCGGTGATGTTGGGACAGCAAATATCCCGAAAATAGCTTCCATCGTCCAAACCTAGAGTCGTGCCTGCCAGTTTGGCAACACAGTTCTTGCATTTCATGCACGGTCGTCGACCAGAGGCGCCTTTGCAACACCACATTGCATGCATTGCAGACTCATCCATGATGCATCCTGCTAGTCTCACTGGAAAGATGCGAATGGTGCCATCTCTCAATGTCACTGGCCTGCCATGGAAATTGTCTGTCCAGGACTGAAATAATTTTGCCAGGCAGTGACTCAAACCTCCAGTGATCCCCTTGATGATCTGCGTACGCAAGAGTGCGATAGGCAACCAGACAAATTCCGAATGCAGCAGTGATCGCCATTCTAAGAAACTTATGTGAAAACAAACGCTGCGTCGAGTATTGTCCGGATGAAGCACATTTCCGGGCACAATTTCATCATGATAGAATAGAAGCTGGAGAAACTTTCCGTCAACATGCTGTCGTAGCAATGTGTCAAACTTGTCGACAAAAAATTGTAAAGCCGCATGTGGCGTCATCGTATGCCAAGTCACAGAAGATCCATCATCGCATGGCAATGAGATGCAATTGCAGTATTGCTGCCGCCAATCAACACGTCTTCTCTTGTTCAACTGTCTCACGGACCCAGTGGTCACAGAACTAGACAGCAGGTTTTCTTCATGCAATATGTCGATCACATCAATCACCGTTCCGACATTCGCACCTCTGCGAGCACAGGCGCTAGCTGCAGCATTGCGCAAGCGTCGCGCTTCATCTCGTTTGAGATGTTGCTGGCTCATCTACTATAGGCATGATTTGTGCTGTGGAAACTGACTATCCTTGAAGTGGTTAACAGGTCAAGCAATGTGGCATATG